AGAGTTTCGAGTGGTCTCGTCTGCCATTTTTGCATAGTCTTCTCGTTTACCCTCTCCTTTGTACTACATAGTAGCGTCTCTCGTCCTATATCAAAAGGCTTCTTGTTGTGTCACGTCATGTTGTGCTCAGAGACCCCGTCCAAAGTCTACAAAGTTTAACTTTTGCCGAGTCTTAGCAGTGTGAGCACGGGCTCCGCTAGTAATTGCCCCTTGGCTTTTCCCCTATCGCGGCGTTCCCCGACGAGACGGGCATGGGTAAATGTATCTATGTTACGCATAGGTCCTCCATGTTGTCATATGTTGTCCCACATGCTGCATTGGCTCGTCCTACTCCAGTGATGCTGGGGTCGCGGTTGTGTGCATACATCCTTATGCCCCAGGAACAAAGTTCTGGTAGGACAAGCAGCGTGGTGGCGTCCAGGGACTGGCGCCCCTTTTGGTCACCTGCGTTTTTTTTTTTGCTCTGTGTGGCCTTGTTCTTTCTTTGTTCGTTTCCTTGCTCTTGGGATATCTATCTTTCGCCCGCAACGGGCCAATGCCTCTGGGGTAGCAGTGGTCCGGCAGGAAGGGGTACACGGCAGATTTGCCGAAGGCGAGAACAAACGAGGGAGAAAAGAAACGAGAAAACCCAAGGGGCCCTCTTCCGACAAGGAAGCCAAAGTCGAGGCACTGTAACTCCCCAACTCCCTTTCGAGCACATGTACCGTATATCGGCTGGGGAATCGAGCTGCTGCTCCATCCCATCAGTAGTAGTACCCTTTCCCACACGGGGTCGCTACCAGTCGCCTGCCCTCCACCTTTTTCGAGGGGTCCCGTCACCACGGTAGCATGTAACGTCACAAAGTCGAGCATGCACGAGACGAAGGACTTGGGGTTCCCAAGCCTTGGGAGGGCAGAGACAAAACGCGCCCCCCCTTCCCTCTCGCCTGGCGATCCCTTGATCAGGCCACAACTTGGTCGGCATATGCAGCCAACCTTGACGGCTCCCGAGCAGTAAGCGGATTTTTCTTTTCTCCAGGTGAGGACGATCTTGTTCCGGAACGGGAGTGGAAGGCATCTGGGCTGTGCGACAAGGGAGAGGAGAGGATCAGATACTGGGAGTGGAGGATCAGATAGCCAGGGTCGGGGGACCCTAGGTTTACTACATCTTTCAGGGCTTGTTTGCCGGAGAAAACTTGCTAGGCTCTCCGGCGCTGGAACCGGTGGGCTGCTCCATGTGGACAACACGGAGGCGCCCCGTGAGGTGAGGAGGGGTGTCGGCCCCGCAGAGGAATCTTTCGACACCTTAACACCAGTGCTTGAGCATATCCCCAGCCCCATTCTCCCGCACGTGCCCGGCGGCATGACCATTGTGGTGACCCCGTCCGGCTGCGGGCGTGGAGGGATTATGCTTCTCTTTTCGTCGTACGCATCTCCTTTCCTGCTCGTACGTCCCCTGTTTTACACCCCCCCTTCCCTGTAAATGGCATCGGATGCGGGGGGAGATAACAAACAGAGAGGTGGCGGGTACGGAAGGGAGAGGGAAGAGAGAGAGGGAGAGTGTGGGCATCCCGCCCGCCTTGCGGGAAGAGTGCGGGAGGGTCGTGGGACTCCTCGAGGTACCCGGCCAACGAGGCCATCTTTGACACGGTTGCCCGCAGCTCGGCCGTGCGTGGAGGAGGCGGATGAGAAAAGACGTGTCGAATTATCTCTTGTCTTCTCACCCCCTCCCTCTCTCTCTCTTCCTCCTCCGTCCTGCCTTTGCCCTTCACTTCCCCGAGACTTTGTCTCCCAAGGGGCACAGGGGCTGCAGCGAGCCGTCATCAGGCGCACCAGAGTTTCACGGCCGTTTGCTTTTCCCCATACCTCGATATTTCGGGCTGTAAGGGCGGCTATCTGCAGGTTCTGGGCCACCCGCTCTTGTCGCTCAGAGCCTGCGGGGGGCAATGCTGATGTGATTATCAACAGCAATGACAAGAGAGATAGGAAGGCTGTGTGCTACCTTTCATAGCTGCCATGTAGCATGTAGACGCCCGATCTCTAGTGTTACGTCTCCCGAAAGATCCGGCAGGATGAGGGGGAGAAAGAGAGAGGGGGCATACGGCTAGCCGAGTCCACACGATGGAAACCTCGAGAATGAAACGTGCCTGTATGCCCTGCAGACACTAGACTAGCCGTGTATGGTCGGTCTCCTGGGCCTCTGAGAGAGACCTCTTGAGGTGGCAGGTAGGCCCCGGCGGGCGTATCTCGATCCTGGATGCGTTTTGCTCTACTTTTGCATCGACAGACAAGGATAAGGGGGCAGAAGACAAACGACGGGCCGCAGTCTAGGGTGTCGCTCGTCCAGACAACACGCTAGGCCGCCCAGGAGATACCAGCTCGCCGCAACACTGCAAGACCGACTTGGGTCTGGCCGTGATTCCACGCTCACCGGAGTCGACTCTTGCTGGTTGCGCACATGTCCGTTCCAAGCAAAAAAAAACTCACCGGCAGGCAAGACTTCGCCGGCCGGCAAGGCAGAGATGATGAAGATCTTTGTCCATATCGAGGGGCTCTACGGATGGCTTCTCCGTTTGTCCCCATGTCATCCCTCGGGCTCCTTTCCCCTTTTCGACCGGACAGGGCCCGACAGAAGGGGAAGAGGGAGGTGTATGCAGTATGCATGTCATCGTCAGCTCCGAATGAGGGATATGCCCTGGGTCTAGTTGGCCATCTCTCCCCTCCCCCCCTGCCCTGCCAGCCACGGGCATGGACGTGCTGCGTGCTCAGCTGACCTGCCCCAGGTGGTCGCACCGAGCAGCTATATCTCTTTCACCGCATGTACCCAACAAACAACCTCCCCCTTTCCTGTTTTATCACCCTCCTCTCCCCATCTTGGCCCCTTGACCGGTGTCCAGTCGCGGCGGCGCGGCGGCATCTAGGGGGGGACCGGTGTGCTGGGAAGTCCCCAGTAAATTATGTTCCTCTTTCTCTCTCTTCCTCTCTTTGTCTCCTCTCCGGGCTTCTCCTACGCTACGCTACCTGCTTCCATCCTTTCTCTCCGACCCCGGTCCCTGAACATGTCGGGACGGCCTGCAGACCTAGGTCTAGGGTTCTACATCCAGAGGGGCCATCCGATCCATCCCCCTTCCTCACGCGCGGGGAAAAGCAGCTGGACGCCACCGCCGCCGCCGACGACCGCCGCTTGTTTCTTCTGCTTCCCTCGGGTTCACAGTTCAGACCGGTCCTACCCTCCCATCCAGTCGTGGCCCATTGCGAGCCCATGCTGTGCTTCCCTGGTGCTGGGCGTGGTGATGTGGCGACCGTCGATCGACACCCCAATGACACGGAGGGAGCGATGGAGGTGGGGGAGGAGAGGGGAAGGGGGTCAGCGGCGGTGCGTGCCTTTTTTCGGAACCGGTTGACTCCGTCGTTTGGTCCCCCACTGGGCTGTCCAGAGACTGTTTGGTACTGTTTGGTACTGCTTGGTACTGTTTGGTACTGTTTGGCACTTTGACCGGTATCGAGGAAGGATGGCGCGATGCCTGATTACCTTGCGACAGCTCTGGTGGTGATGGAGATATAAAAAGGGGTGTGCCTTCTCACATCTGGCTCTTGCGGGCGACGGTGGTGTTATAGCCTCCCTAGTACCACACACACAGACACACACACACACACGCATTATCAGAGAGTAACTGAGAAACCAGCCAGTCCGCCTGACTATCTATCAAAGAGAGAAAAAGATCACCATAGTCCTCCACGGCCCACCATGCCTCACAGCGTCAAGCAGGACTCGTCGAACAAGCAGCACACGGTCGCCAGCTACAGGTATTTTTTTTCCCGCGCCTTCACCCGCCTTTGGAATAAAGCGTGCTAACATATCCGGAGCAGCAACACGGCCGGCGCCGCCAACAACATGGCCGGCTTTGCCAGCCAACTGGACGCGATGCAGGCCAAGACCATGATGCAGGTCTGGCACGAGGAGCGGAACCCGTCTAACCTCACCTTTAGCGAGTGCACGCAGCTCCGGGGTGAGGTGAGGTCTGGTGGCGGTGGAGGTAGCAAGAAGAACGGCTCTAGGTTGGTGGGACTCTTCTCTGTGTGGCTCCCAAGACTCGAGGCACTGACGAACAATCCGTGTGGAACCACGCACAGGCGCAAGTGAGGGTTGGAAATAACCAACGGCCATCACTTTCTTCTTCCTTTTCTTTTATCTTGGCACGGGACTCCTATGGGTGGCAGCGATGGTTTGGGTGGTATGTTTTCAATTTTGCAGGGATGCTATTTTCGGAGGAGGCTATTTCACTGGGAGGCAGTCTAGGGCCATTTTCCACCTGGGATTTTCTGTCGGAGCTAGTTTTTGTTCCACCAGTCTTCAAACAAACCAGTAACTACGGCTTCTCGTTTCCAACAATACGCAAAAAAAAAAAAACAATATTGGTGCGTACCAGCAAAGCCTGCTCTTTTTTTATGCCTCCCATTTTCATGCTTTTCTACAGGGGAGAAATGAGATAAATAAAAGACGCCCAGAACGCCACCCGTTGATTTGCTGCGCCAATGATCCTAGGAGGGAGGACAAAAGAGAACACGGAGCGAGACACGGCGTGTGTGAGATGTAGGAGAAGGCAGGAGCGCGGATATACACAAAATAGGGGGTACTCTCTAGAATGACGACTAGGCAGAGCTCTCAGCCGGCTTCTCGCTGCCCGATGACTCGGCACCGGACGACGAGGTCACGGCCATGGGGGTCTGGCCGATCTCCAGAGCCTTTCCGGTGGCGTGGAAGCCGTCGACGGTGAGGGAGACGGCGCCGGCTTGAACGAGCTGGAAGAGAAGAGAATAGTGTTAGTAAATGAAAAGGATAAGGGGCAAGAAAGTGGGGGGAAAAAAAGAAAAAAAAAAAACTTACAGCCCTCGACAAGTCATCAATTAGATCCTCAACGTCCTCGATGCCGACGCACAGGCGGATAATGTCCTCGGGCATCTGGCGCTCGGCGCGCGTCTTGGCGTCGATGCTGGCGTGGCTCATCTGGCAGGGCATGCTGATGAGGCTGTTGACGCAGCCGAAGCTGACGCTGATGGCCCAGAGGCGGGCGGCCTCGACGACGCGCTGCGACAGGTCGGGGTCGCCCGTCTCGAACGACAGCACGGCGCCGGCGCCGCGGGCCATGGAGAAGTGCAGGTCGTGCTGCGGGTGCGAGGCCAGGCCCGGGTAGCGGACGCGGAAGCCGCGCGACTCGAGGAACTCGGCGATGCGCTGGGCGTTTGCCTGCTGCTTCTCCATGCGCACGGCCAGCGTCTTGACGCCGCGCATGAGCAGGAACGAGTCGTTTGGGCTGAGGCCGCAGCCAGTGGCGTTGACGGTGAAGTACATGCGGTCGGCGAGGGCGGCGTCGTTGCAGGCCACGACGCCCGACATGATGTCGTGGTGGCCCGAGAGGTACTTGGTGCCCGACTCGTAGACCACGTCGGCGCCCAGGTCGAGCGGGTTGCAGAGCATGGGCGAGAGCATGGTGTTGTCGACGACGACGAGGGCCTTTGGGTTGGCGTCGTGGGCGGCGCGGGCGATGGCGGGCACGTCGACGATCTTGATGAGCGGGTTGGTCGGGGTCTCGAGCAGCACCATGGCGGTGCGGGCCGAGAGCGCGGCCGACACGCGGGCCGGGTTCGTGGTGTCGACGTGGCGCACGAGGATGCCCTGGTTGGCCGACATGTAGGCCAGCAGGCGGTTGGTGCCGCCGTACAGGTCGTCGCCCGTCACCACCTCGTCGCCGGGCCGCAGCAGGCGCGTGATGACGTCGAGGGCGCCCATGCCGGACCCGACGGCTAGGGCGCGGGCGGCGTTCATGATCTTGGCCAGGTGGCGCTCGAGGTGGGTGCGCGTCGGGTTGCCCGACCGCGTGTAGTCGTACTCGGCGTTGCCGCCCGCCGCCGTCGCCTGCTTGAAGGTGGCCGACTGGTAGATGGGCATGCTCGAGGCCCCGTACTGGTCCTTGGACTCGGTGTAGACGAGCTCCGTGGCCAGGGCGTAGCGCCGCCGGCCGTTGCTGGGGCTGGACGGCGCCGGCGACGGCGGCAGGTCGTGGCCGTCGACGTCGACCAGGCCGAGCGCCTTCTTGGCGGCCGACGGCGGCGCGCTGGAGGGGGCGGCCATGGCGGGTATGGTGTGAGGGCGGAAGGGAGATGGGTGGGAGGAGGAGGAGGGGGAGGTCGCCGAGGCAGGTACTCGTCTAGGCGGTAGTCGGGCTTGTGTGTTTCCAGTGTTTGGGTCGGTCACTGTCTCGGGAACTTGTATCTGTCAGGTCAATGTCAAGCACACGAGCAAGCCTGGTGACTCCTCTCCTCGACAAACGTTATTGCTCCCGGCCGCTGTTACTTGGGTCACCCCACCTGCGATTGAACAAGAGGGGCAAGAAACTAAACTAGCACCTACACGGAGCTAGTTCGGTAGGATGTAATTGTTTTTGCTTTTTCCCGGAAAGGATTGGAATTGAGCCAAAGGGAGCTAATGTATATATTGAGAAGTTGTAAAAACCACTACACACAGCTGTAGCCCAAGCCATCAGCCCAAGTACTGTACCATCGTTACTTCCCCTTGTGGGCCATCCCATCCAATCCGCGAGGTTGGAATGCATTCCTCTCGCCCAGCTTGGGAGGGTGGGCAGAGTCTGGGGAACCGAACCCATTGACCGCAATTGACCGCAGACACGTCCCACCGCCTTTTGCCAGAATTACTTCCTAACCGTCGAGCCTTCCGATCAGCGGAGACGGCAAAAACAGAAGCGGGCCGTGGCCTGGTTGGGGTCGAGCGACAGCCGTGCTTGCTCGCTAGGGCGGTACCTGGCGTGCCCTGCATTTTGTGGCTGGCGGGCTGGTACCTCTTTAGCGGCGCCCCTTGTTCGCCATGTGGGCCCAGATATGACGTGATTGCGGGCGGCTCTTTGTGATCGGGCCTGACTCTGGCAAACCTGGAAATGGCTATCAACAGCAAGGGGTTGCCCAGGAACTACTGTGTAGTAACGGCAGTAACATTTGGTTGAATATGTCTTCATATCGGCATCCCGCCCGTGCCCCCATCTGTCTATATCCACATTAGATTTGTACATGCCTGTTTACCGCGAACGCCGGGCAAAACATGCCGTCTCAACGACTGGGAAAACCGTCCTGGCAGCTGATATCCAACTGCGCAGCAATTCATCGCAGGCAGAACAAAATAACAAGACGAATGCGAACGTGGTCTCCGCCGACAATCCACGGCCTCCTAGTCCGGCGACACAGGTCTCTGCTGCTGGGTTTCGTCATCGTCGTCCACATCTTCGTACTCGTCGCTGCTCCCCGACGCCCGCTTCGCCTCGGCCGCGCCCCCGGCCTTGATGTCGGCGACGGCCCGGGCCTCTCGCAGCTGCTCATGGTTCTGGTGGTGCCTCTGCGGCTGCGCACCGCCCCTCTTGTTGAAGAAGTCCTCGGTCCGGATGCCGCGGATCATGGCCGGGTCGACCTTGGCCATGGGTACGCCTGCTGCGCGCTGGGCACGGATGTGCTCGCGCATGGGCGCCATGGCTGCATCGCGGCACGCCTCTTTGAGGTCGCTGCCCGACATTCCCGCCGTCACGGCCGCCACGTACTCTAGGTCGAACTGTTCCGGGTCCCGCTTGGTCGGGCCCAGCACAAGCTCCAGGATCCGCCGCCGCTGCTCCCGCCCGGGCAGCGGCACGGGGAACTTCTTGGGCATGCGCCGTAGGATCGCCTCGTCAATGTCGTTGATACGGTTCGTCGCCCCCAGCACAACTATCCTCGACGGGACGCCAGACGCGTTGGACGACGTCAGGCCATCCCATAGCGTCATGAACCTGGCCACCATGTTAGATATCACCTAGTCTGGAAGCACTACGGTGAGGTGACAGTGATAGTGACAGTAACCTACTCGGCCTTGACCATGCCGCTGGCCTCGTGCTCCCCGCGGGTGCGGGTGCCGAGCACGGCGTCGATCTCGTCGATGAAAATGATGGCGGGCTGTAGCTTGCGGGCGAGAGAGAAGACGGCGCGGACTAGCTTGTTGGAGTCGCCGTACCACTTCTCCGTCAGGGTTGATATGTGCAGGTTGATGAAGGAAGCACCGCTCTCGTGCGCCACCGCCTTGGCCAGCATGGTCTTTCCACACCCGGGAGGGCCGTAGAGCAGCACGCCCGAGGGCGCGGCGAGAAGCGGGGCGGCGTGCGAGTAGAGGTGAGGCATGGTCAGCGGGTAGATGACGGCCTCCTTGACCTCCTCGATTATCTCGTCCATGCCGCCAATGTCTGCCGTGCCACGTGGTTTCAAGTCAGCCCGCTGTCCTAGACTCCTGTCCTGGGTTCCTATCCTATCAGAGTGGCCATGTCCTACCGTCGAAGCCCACGGTTATGTCCTCGGGGGCCACCACCTCAAGTGCAATCTGGTTCTCGTAGTCGTTCAGCACTAGGTCCTCAACGCGGGGGCCGCTGCCCCGGGCGCTGGACGTGTCACCGTCGGTGGCGTCGCCCTTGGCGTCGGCATCCTTGCGGTTGCGTAGCCTCTGCAGGTTCGCCTTTGCCTTGAGACTGGCCTGCTCGTGCTTCTCCTTGTCCGGGTCGACGAGGGTGTTGGTGAGGGACGAGAGGATGTTCTTGGTCAGAAAGTAGAGGGTTGCGGTCTGCGGCGGAGCGTGTTAGTTGGAGGGCCGAGTCCAGCACCGACAGCGACAAAACGGCAACGCACCATGCCTGCGAACATGACAATGTCCATCAGGTAGTCGCCAGCCCGTTTGCGGTCCGCCATGGTCGCGAGCTTCGACCCCAGGCCCCACATCAACGGCGGTGCGGATGGGCTGGACAGTCAGGAAGCTCTGACTGGAACCAACCCTACTGAGATGAACAAGGGAAAAATAGCCTGGGCGGCGGCGTCGTGGTCGAGTCCAGGTGTCGAGGGGCAGCGAGGCGGGCAGGGGTGGTCGAGGGCGGTGGGTTTGTTCCTAGCCGAGGCTCTGACCAGCATGTGGTTTAGTCCCCGATAGTGGTGAAGAGTGTCCTGTCGGGCTGGTGGCGGCGTCTTGTTGTCTGCCGTCCGCCTTTCTTGGTAATTCCTGGGGGTGCCGGGACGTGCCTGAGAGAGAGCGCTTGGACCAGGCCAGTCTGGGCTGGCGGCGACTAAATTGAGCGCCGCCACTGGTCCACGTCGCCCCGCCAAGGTGGGGCGTCCCTTGTTTACTTTGAATCCCTGCGCGACAGCATCGACGGGGCTTGCTTCTTTTTCTGCCCAACGAGGGGGGCTGCATTGAATCGGTAGACGGGAATATTGTGACGCCGCACTTCGCGCTCACCTAGCCGCACCCAGGAACCCGATTGCTGTCACCGGCGCTCCAGCATACAGTCTCTCCATCACAGAGAGCGGCCAGCTGTCCTTGGCAACGCCCTTGACAACGCGACGCGACGCGCAGCACCAACATCGAAACCAAACGGACGGGAAACACGCCGAATGTCCAAAGCCGCACACAAGCACAACCTGCTGGGTCTGGTGGACGAGGACTCCGAGGACGACCTGGTGGAACAGAGGAAGCCGACCGCCAACACGACCAGGAAACGGACCGCAAGCGGAGCACCCACGACCGCCTCGATGCCGCCCGCCAAGAAAAGGGGAGGTGCCACGGCTGCCGCAACCGCAAAAGGCCGCGGCGGCACGGCGAACAAGGTCACGAAGCCCGCTGCCAAAACAGTCCCGGCCTCCCGGCGACGCGCTAGCGACCAAGTCGCCGCTGCGCTGGCGGAAGCCGAGGCCGAGGCCGAGGCGGCCGCAGAGGCCCCCGCGCCGCGCAACCCACCTGGCAGGAGAGGCGGGCGCGGAAGGGGAGGGGCGGCTGGGGCTAGAGGCAGGGTGATCGCCTCAATACAGCAGGACGACGGCCCAAGGGCGGTAGAGGACGAGGAGGCTGGCGAGGTCGAGGCGTCGGTGCTGTCGCCTCCTGATAGCGACAATCCCCAGACGACAGCCAGGCGCGCGCGCGGTCGGCCCAGAGCCGGCGCGGCCACGGCATCCGGGGCAAAACGCCCAGCAACACGGGATGCGTCGGAGCCGGTGGAGGAAGCCCCTGAGCCTGAGCCTGCCCCTGTCCCCCCGAGGAGAGGGCGGAAGCCAGCGGCAGGAAAGGCGAAGGCGGCGGCGGCGGCGGCGGCACCACCAGCAGCAGGAAGGGAAGATGAGACGCTCGAGATACCCGAAACGCAACAGGCCCCAGAGGAACCCATGGACGTCGATGTGACCGAGGACGAGGCCACGGGGCCGCTAATAGGGGATGAACTGACCGAGATATCGCCACTCCAGTCGCCGCCTGGTCCCGCGGTGCGCCACCCCAGCATATCGCCTACTAAGGTTAGGTCTACGATGGATTTGGACGAGAGCGACTCCTCTCTACGGCGTCGGCTGGGCGAGCTCACGAAGAAGCACGACGCGCTCGAGGCCAAGTACCGCGACCTGCGCGAGATCGGGGTCAAGGAGGCCGAGAGGACGTTTGAGCGGCTCAAGAAACAAACCGAGGAGAGGGACAAAGGTTTATAGCCACGTTTCATTTTGCCAGACCCCGGAAATCAGACAGGCTTGCTGACAAGACTGACCACTTCCCCGTTTCCAGCCGCAAACGACCTGATCGCGAAGCTCAAGGAGGAGCTGGCGGCGCAAAAGGAGCTCGCCAAGGAGGGCCAGCGGCACAAGAAGGACCTCGAGGCCAAACAGGCCGAGGCGGCATCCCTCACCTCCCAGGTGGCCGCGCTCGAGGGCGCCGTGGCCGAGGCCAAGAAGGAGGTCAAGACGCTGGCCGCCAAGCTCGCGTCGTCGCGCACCGTCGTCGACAGCGTCGCCGCCTCCAAGGTCCCGGGCAGCGCCCTCAAGCCCGGCCACCACCTCCACCTCGGCAGCGCCCTCAAGCCGGGCACGGCGGCCGCGCGCGCCGCCGCCGCCAGCGCCGAGGCCATGCAGTCGGCGGCCCAGGTGGCCCAGATGAAGGAGGACCTGTACGGCGACCTGACGGGCCTCATTGTGCGCGGCGTCAAGCGGACCCCGGAAGAGGACGTGTTTGACTGCATCCAGACGGGGAGGAATGGGAGTATGTTCTCTTACATTACCTTTTCCCGCCAAGCTCCTCCACTCGCTGCTCTTGTTTCCTTACTGACCAAACCAAAAAAAAAAAAAACACACAGCCCTCCACTTCAAGCTCTCGATAGGCAGCGACCTGTCGGCCGAGAGCTACGACCAGGTGCAGTTCATGTACATGCCCCAGCTGGACCCCAGCCGCGACAGGGCCCTGGTCGAGATGCTGCCCGACTACTTGGTGGAGGAGATCAGCTTCCCGCGGCCTCATGCGGCCAAGTTCTACTCGCGGGTCATGAGGTCGTTGACGGAACGCATCGACTGAGGACCCGTGTGTTTCTTTTCCACTGTTCTTTTTTCTCCGCTTCTCTGTGCCACTTTTCTTTGCTCAAACTTGTCAAGGCCGGACTGGTATTCTGGGTGTCTTGTATTTCTGTGTTATTGTATGGGTGGCTTCCTCGCGCATGATATTTTTTTACATGATACCTGGACGGAGCTGGGAGGCGTTTTGTCTTGGTTTTTTTTTTTGGCCACTAGAGAAAACAAGGCCCGCGATCCCGCCTTTTGTTTTGCTACATAGTGTTAATAACTAGGGGCGGGGGCGGGCGGTCTCGATGCTCGCAGTAGCCGCGCGTGTTGTTCAACAAAGCGAGCCAGCTTATATACATCCCGTTTCCAAACCATCTCCTTGCATAGCATACGACGCAGCAGGAAGCCATCCTCTCCCACGAGCCTCTCTGCAGCAGAGCTTCAAAACACCGGACATGTGTGTGCATGATGAAATATCGGCACGAGTTACCCGTGCAGAGCAGCAAGGCAACTCTACTCGACTGGTTCTCACCTCCGGCTGTTGACGCTGACAATATCAGGTCCACCGGTAACAGACATGAGATAATGTTTCAGCAGGAGAGACACATCATTGCATGAGCCAGGATCTCAAGCTTGGAGCATCATCTTGTAAGGATTGTGTTGTTGGCGTGTCGGTTTCAGTCTTGGGAGCAACGCTCGATGGGTCAGAATCCCTTCCAAATAACCCATCTGAAACCATGGCCTTTCGGGAGAGACGAGCCTAGAGGCTCTTCAAGTGGGCGATATCGGACATTAGGGTATGTTGCTCATCATCTCCTGAAGCTAGTCTGGTTCTGATGGAGAATTCGCCGCTCGAAACATTTGCTGCATGATTGTGTGCATCGACAAGATGAGATACCAATCAACTCCCATAAAAGGAAGGATAACACCACAGAAAGACCAAGCAAATGGTATGGAAAAGCCATGCGCAACCCCCTTGTCTTCCCAATTTGTTACACCCTTGAAGCCAACCGCCGGAACCCCTCCAGACCACCAGGACATCAAGCAAGAGAGGACAGAAACTGCACCAAACACCGGCTTACAGATAGGTATCAAAGCAATCAGGGTTGTGTGTGAACCTAAGCGAGCCAAAAGCAATAGAAAACAGGAGGAACAGAGCCAACAAACATGATCCTATGATTGGACGAGACTTTAGCCATGGCAAGAATGTCAATGGAGGATGCAAGGGGCGAGCATTGTAGCTCGTATGGGGAAATTTCCTGTCCAAGATAGGACGAGGTGGAGTGGGGACGTGCTGAGAGGGGCAGAGAGGTATTGGGGTCCATCTAGGAACGTCAAATAATAAATAACAAGCCGACAAACAGGAAACAGCCATGGGGAGTATAGAAACAAAGAATATAAAGGGGGTATGGGTATTATAGACAAAAATTCAGGTTCCAGGATGTTGCCCAAGTCCCTCCCTCTCGGGGTTAGGGTAGTTCAACTCCTGTCAAGGTTGGGCATGAGGGCCAGGTCATGGGATTTTGCCCCGTTTGCGGTCTTCTGCAGGCCTTTCGTCGTTATCGAATAGCAACCCGAGCGAGGCCAGGGACCACGAGCCAGGGCCACCGCCAACCGAGGCGGCCGTCGAGTGCACAATGACGAGCCACGCCGCCACGATATTGACGAGATAGTGGAGCACATATGCATACGAGACACCGTAGATGGCCGCGTAAACGGCGATGCCCAGGAACAGCGCGCCCGATAGATGACGGGCCGGCCTCCAGCGATGCCGCACACGGGGCACCATGCGGCCCGTCGTCTGCGTCTCGACCAGCACAATGAAGGGAATGATGGAGAGCACGTTGTGGTGCGACGAGAAGGGTGTCATCCAGTGCACCGCCAAGTTGCGCACCCACACCACCAGCGTCGGCAGGTTGATGGGCAGGACCCAGAGCATGAGGACCAGAGTCGAGTGCGCGTAGTTGTAGAAGTTGTAGTTGATGTGGTGGTGATGGCTGCTGTGGCCACCACTGCTGCGATTTGGCGACGGCGACGATGACTTGGACGGCGACAGCGGTGGCATCGCCCCCAACCAGCCGCCCGCATCCGACACTATTCGCAGTGCTCGCACCGTTGTCGTCAGCTGCACAAGACACGCCACCACATACGCGAACTGGTACGGGATGAAAGTCGCGACTAGGAAGAGCAGCACCGCCGTCGTGAGCACCCGCCGACGTGGCGAGCAAACACCAAACCCGCTGGGGCAGGACGCAAATCCCCCCTGCCTAGTAGACACGCGCAGCAGCTGCTGCTCTTGCTGGCGCTGCTGTTGCTGCTGTTGCTGCTGTTGCTGTTGCTGTTGCTGCCGTCGTCTCCTGCCCTGGTCGTCGTGTTGGTAATTAGGCTGCTGCATGGTGTTTTGGTCATCAACGAGAGGTGTTTGGCCATCGCCGTAGCCGCCCTCCGGATCTCGCCGCCAGCGGGCAATACCCCAGGCGGGTCGTATGCTGAGCAAGCCCATCAGTGTGGCGAACAGCTGCGTGAGACAAAGTGCAGCATAGTTGAGAGCTGTGCAGGCCCCAATGCACACTAACCCAATCAGCGGTACCATGAAGCAGAAGATAGGATCGCCCGTGCCGATGAGGAGGTCGTTCTGCTGGTAGTTGACCAGGGCGGATACCAGGGTAGCGTTCTCTCCGTTTGAGTGCCAGAACCCATCTCCCGAGTTTGATGTTTGCTGCCGTGACGACGATCCCGACGTACTGCCTCCCCACATGGAAAGAATGGTCAGGCCAGCAAGCATCAGTGGGATAGACCGACGCAGGCACATGCCAAGCGCTTCGGTGAAGGGCAGGAAGACGCCGGTGGCATCGTAAATATTGAACTGTTTCCGCAAAACCAGCGCGACGACGAGCAGGGGGAAGGCGGCGAATACAGTCCTGTACCGCATGTAGAGCTTCCCGAGACTGCCCAACACGTCGATGCTTAGATGGACGTGTACGGTCGAGTCGCAGGTAGGGTCGGTCCAGAACTGGAAGCCTAAACCTTCCTCGCCGGCTGGTTTAACCGTCATCGGAGGGGGGACATATGGCGCAACGCCGTGCAAGCTGACAGAGGCATGGCGCACATTGACAAAGAACTTAGACTCGTGCGGCTCCGAGAGAAACTGGCGCACCAGGGGCGTGAACATCTCGGCCCCGGAGCCGTCATCACCACCGCCGCACGTCTGTTGACCAATCTCAAGGTTGTAGGCCAGCAGGCTCGACCGGATGGACGGGATGCGGACCTCGTTGACCATGGGCCGCGATACGGGCAACTGTAGGTCCATTCCGAAGGCCAGCAATCTACGCAGGCTGATATGACGGACACGGTGCGACTGCGAGCGGTCACTGAATTCGGCAATGACAAAGCCAGTGGTAGGGGAAGCCGCCTTGTCGATGATAACGATGTACTGATGGTCTGCCAGGTCCCCCGCGTCGAACTCCAGGTAGGAAAACGGCCGCAACTCGGGCTCACCCTCGAGGTAGAAGGGATGGCGAGCGGACCGCGTCGAGGTAGGGAGCAGGATAACGTCCGAGGCGGCGTTCTTACAGGCCAATCGCGTGGAGCCCGCGCTGTCGCCTGACAGGTCCATCTTGACTGCGAACTGGGCGATACCGGCCTGGCCGGCGGGCTGGGTCGGAAAGACGCTGCAGAACAGCACCTCGAGCCGACCGCTTTCTCCGGCACGATCCATGGGTTGATCCGTCAGGAGCGTCAGTCGCCTACCCGCCGGGGTGCCAGGAGGCGGTATGGGGAGCAGGTGCGCCTGGGGCCTGCCGCCGCTGGCCGCGGTTCCGAGCCGGCGAAGAACGAGCCTCTCGCCTTGCGCGAGGATACCGTCTGTGTTGCTGTCGTCCAGCGTGAGGAGTGTACTCGGCCCTTCTAGTGGAACCGCCTTCTCAACGACGGCCTCCAGACCGGTAAGGAAGCGGCGCTTGAACGCACGCATGCGCTCAGCGCGTGGCTTGGTCTGGGCAGGCCTGTTGACGTCAATGATGTCGTAGAGGGCGTGAGCTACTACCTTGCGGAACTGATCACACCACATGATTGCCTGGTGGTCCATGCTGGTCCAGACGGTGGGGATGGACGATGTAAAGACGGTGAAGCCGTGGGTTTCAGGCACTAGTGACTCGATGCTCGCATAGTCAGATGGCACAATCGTGTCAAGCCCGCCGCCAGCGATAGAGATGAGGGTGACATGCGAGAGCGGGTTGCTGTGATCCCACGGCTGGGCGTAGGCGCGACGCCAGTAGTCGTTGATTTCGCGGTAGATGTCCACGATCTGGCCGTCAAACGACACGGGCGGACGGGCGTGAGGGGCCGCCATGGTTATGATGCTGTTGATCGAGTTGGACTGATAGTTGGGGATCGTGAGCATGGTGCGCGCCACGATACCACCCATGGAGTGACCGAGCACGATAACCGAGGTCGGGTCCGGCACGCCCGGCTCGCGACCCGACATGCGTGGATCCAGATAGAGCGAGAGAATGTATCGGATAGCCTCGTTCAGGTACTCTGCCTGATCCAGCAGCGTCTGGCCATGGAATGCTGTGAAGTCCTCATTGAAGTCGACGGTGAAGAAATCAAGCGACCTTGCACCAGCCCTGATGGCAGCCGCGTCATGCTGCACCTCCTCATGGAATAGGGTGGCAGCCTCAGCGGCGATCGGTCGGACTTGCTTGTAGCTTCCAGCGTTTCCAGGGATAAACAATACCGGAATACCCATGAGCTAGAACGGGGCAGGGTTTTGGTATCAGCACCTCTGACTTGACTGATAGGGCCGTAACGGCACCGCCCGATCCAAGAAACCGAGGTGCGATGCTGGGGAGAAAAGGCAAACTGCTCAGCGCGGCAGCAGCACATGCACGCACCTTAGTATCATCGTCAACGTACTGCTCTCTATATAGGTACAGAGAGTACTTGCTTGCGAAGCGGGTGTGCTCCGTGTCGAACTCGTCGAGGCGAGCGTACATGGGGCGCATATACGACATGCGGCAGCCCTTGGGGTCGAGCTGCCTGGAGTTGAGCGAGTGAATGATCAGACCTAGGCACGAGAGCCCGACTAGTGAGACCAGTAGAGCCAGTTTCGATATGGCCCAGGGACTCCTCGATCGGGGACGGAGGCCGCCCAGCGACGTCCTCGCCCCGCTGGTCGGGTCCTTGTCGGCCATGGTGCCGTTTGCGGCCGCGCCTTCTCCCTCCACCCTTTCCCGCCGGCCCAGACCCAGCGAAGAGGGGATATGGCTCGACAAGGCTTCCGCAAAGGCAGCGTTGGCGGCAGTGCACAGATGATTGGTGGTGAGGAGGGTCGGGCGGAGGGTCTGTCGGTGTTGCCGCTCCCCCTAGCGAACTATTCTGCGCGGACCAGCTATACTGCTTCCAATTGAGATTTCCAGAGTGGCGGCTTGTGGCCGAGGAGGTCGAGGGTCGGCGTCGAGCCTCGTGATCTCGACGGCAGGGCTGGCAAGGATAGATGCTGTTGTCGCGGCGGCGGCGGCGGCGGCGGCGAGTCAGCTCTCGGACGGGGTCCCGTGGACTAGACTACCTAGGCTGGCAGTCGTAATGGAGGGGACAGCTGCCCGTTGCCGCTATTGCTGCTGCTCTCGGGCCTTGTGGCGGGGCGTGCGAGCGCGGCGAGATTGGACGATAGTCGCCTCGATGGCCTGGGCTGGCGATGCAGCTGGTGCTTGCGTTGGCGTAGGAGCTGAGCTCTCAAGGTCCGCTTAACAGGTGAATCGCCGGCGCTGTCAGAGGATACGGACGGGCGCCGCAACTTCCAAGTCCTCGGGTGGACTCAGCGAGCGCAGTTCCGTGCGATTGGCCGTCGCGGCGTCCCGGTGGTGCCGAGGCGCGCCCAAAATGAGGGTTGGACGAGGGTTCTCTCAGTTGTTTCTTTTTTTTCTTTCTGCCCGGCTGCTCCGGAGCTCAATTGTTCGCTTGGTAATGGCTAGCGGCAAAAAGGTGGGCACACAAGGTGGATTGCGCGAACGGAAGGCCCAACCCAATGTCACGTCACTACTCTAGCGCCAGTGGAGGTGGTAGGGAGGTAGGGGTGAGCGGGTACCTGGGTACCTGGACAGCTCTGTTGAGCCACCCCTCACCAAGCGAGTTGGGATTGTCGCAATCCGAGGTCAGCCGTCGTGCTACACGAGGATGAAGAGGGCAGCGAGAAAGATGACGCAGGCGATGAGGCTTTCGTCCAGAGAAGTCGGCATGGTGCGGTTAAAGAGGCTCTGGAGCGAGCGCTTTCTTTGCCTGGCTGGTCTCACTGGTCTTGTCGTTCCTACCCTGCGCTGGGGCACAAGTTTGGACCATGGTTTTCTGGCAAACGCAGGCAAACGCATCCAGGAATGCGGTGCGATCGAGATGGTCTTGCGAATTAGCGGACCAGACCCAAGCGATACCGCCCCGGCTACCTGCACCCGGGGACACTGGTACATATATGTGGCGGTGACTTGAATGAGCCTGGGCCAAGGTGCCCCAGTATTTGGCCGCTTCAAAAGTTATCACACAGAGCGTCTATGGCTTTTATACACAGTAAACAACATGGCAACGAATCGGCAGCTACTCCCCGGCGCCACAGAAGGCTCCAAGACTGTGGGCACAAGCATGACTCGGAGTGCCAAAACAGCTTGGCAGAGCTTAGTGAAGGACGTCACCAAATGGACAGCACCGTTAAGAACAAGAAACTGAACCTCGAAGCTTCGCCGGGGCTTGCTCCAGATGGATGCTTGTTTAACCGTGGCTGAAGGCAATTTCTGCCCTACAAATGGTGCCATTGTACGATCGATCTTGGCTCGGGCATCAATTGGAAGTCGCGATGCTAAATGCGCCAGTAGGAGTACCCGCCCTTCTTGACCTGCTCTTCTTGTGCATTGTCTGATGCAGTGACGTTTGGTCCAGCTCAACTCCATCCCCCAACCCACCCCACAGCTAGAGCTGATTGCCCGGGACGAAATGATCTCCAAACTGCACAAGGTCCAGGGCGCCCCCGTCCATAACCCCTGTCTTGTCCCAAAGCAGAAGGCGTCCATCGATCGATTCGATTGTGCCAACCCAACCATCCAATGCAAGCATGCAAGCAACGCCCTCGATCACCAGCAGAGCCACCGAAATAAAACCTTCCTCCCGCAGCTGACTTCCATTTTCCAACTTTTGTGGCTGCTCGGCGCCATGTCCGTCGTGGAAAGTTGGAAATGGTGATCAGATCTCGTCTTAGTCGTCCAAAGCCCCGCGCCCATCCCCGCCTCAGAAGCCATGTCTAGACGACCACCAACTAGCACCCGAAGGATCCCAAGCTAGTCACGTGCTAGCCCATAATCCAGCCCTCCCTTCGCCAGGGGGCCACTTGGCTGCAGCATGCGGACGTGAGATAGGGACGCGAGATAGTGGCCAGGACGGCTCCGTAGGCCGAATCTGACCGTCCAGCCCCCGCGCCTTGCTGCAGCCCTCGGCCATGGACAACCATCAGGCCAACTAAAGGCCGCGCTAACTTGCCGCTTTCCCGCCCGCCCAGCTTGCTGGCCGGCGGACGATACTGCTTCCTATCTCGGCTGATATCTTATTCCTGCATCCGCCAACCAACCACCACCTTTCACTGCCAACATGTATCACCTCATCCGTCGTGTCACCCTCCACCAGGCAGCCTAGAGCCGCACTAGGCCCCCTGCGTCACGCTATTGTTTGAGCCTGGCCGCTGTTTTTAACCGATAACGGAGTCCTTGTGCTGGTCATGCAGTTTGTCACATGGCAAGAATTCCCGTCCATCCTCGCGATTGCAACGGTGATGATGCTGCTGCGAAATAGTCTTGGGTCAACGTCGATATACACCGCAACTCTATCTCTTACCCCGATATGGCTATCAGGAAACCACCTACGCAATAGACCATTCGCAAAGAAACATGATTGAAATTCTTGGGCACTCTAGACGCCGTGTTGATTAAACGTTGGCATTGGCGAGATGGTGATTGGCCAAAAGCTGCAGCTTGGACCGGAGCTAGCCGGGCTGCCGGATCAAGTTGAGGAAGACCCCACACCTGCCAGGCCTATTCCGGTAATGGGCAGGTTGAGGCTTGGGTAGAGCAATGTCAGCCACACGAGGCTTGGTTTGGGTCGAATATGGGCGTTGCCAACCAGGAAGCGAAAAGTTCGTACCAGAATATCCACCGCCGCTGCCCAGCGTCGGCACAGGCGCCACCAATGACCGGCCTCCGCGGTGCTCCCAAAGGCGCAGACGGTACCCCTGTTCCGGAGCGGCACCATAGGCCAGCGGGTAGGACGTCCCTGCCCAGAAGGCTTCGAGCTGGCCGCCGCTCATGGAATCTGTGATGGCCTGAACCCGTGATTTTTTATCGCCATCGTCGGTCGGTTTACGAGTCGATAAATTTCCCACCTTTTAGGTTCTCCCCCCTGCTCCAAACGAGCTATGTTATCACGAGGTCCCTGCCCGAGTACTCCGGATTTGAGCCGCCCGAGAAGGACCCGGGTCCCTAGAGAGCGGGCAGCGGTGGTGGTGTGCCATAGTGTTGGTCGAGTAGTGGCGTGGAGGTCTCGCCTAGGAACAGAAAGGTGTTGCTGCCCAACTCCAAGGGCTTTTCGCCTACCGGATCAGCCTCGGGCTGCGGCTGCTGCGATTCGGAGCTGGGCGGCCTTGCTGAGCAGGGTCCTGGCATCGTAATCCCGACCTATTTCGGCTGATGGGCTGGTGGAAGTTTGGATCTAACGAGAGGCAGGAATACGTACGAGGGAGAATTGAGCTGAGTGAGCGGCCTTGGGGCCTTGTCGGCTGGGCCGATCACCTGCAGGAGCGTGCGGGTTCCGTGAGGGGAATCCCATGGGGCCAGGTTTAGCGAGCGCTGCCAGCCCTCAATGGGCAATGCTATCCCATAAACCGCACTATCATGCTCGGTTCCTTGGAGGCGCCCCTGCCGCTTGGATGGCCGCAGCTCGGGGCTCTACAGTTGGCTTGGATCCGGCCAGCCATGACTTCGACCCGTACGTGTCGGGGCAGAATCAGGTAGGGCTTCCTACACCCATCGGTCCCCTGGCTGGACCATGTCTCAACATAACATGGGCAAGCCAAGACCAAAAAAAAAACGTCTAACGCCCCCGACATATCTCAAGGCGGCGGGTTCGTCGGCTAGGTCTGCCAGCTATCGGTCGTTAACATATGGCTTTCCCGCTGACATCGGTCCGTGGCCGAGGCACCGTCACACACGAGATCTACATCAGGCCCGTAGCCCCTCGTACACTTACACCAACATCTCGGCCGGCTTCTTCCCCGCGGTCCAGGACCACTACAAGGGCCACCTCGCCATGGAGTACCCCGTCCTCGATATTTCCAAGGATCCTGTCGAGCAGGGTTTCGAGGCCGGCAGTTACGATCCAGTAGCCGCTTGCAACGTGGGTGCTTGCCAACATACCCCCTGGGAGATTACGGTGGCCCGAGTTGGAGCTCGACCTCGAGGCGCCGCTCGTCTCGGCCGACATCGACTCCCTGGTCAAAAATCGGGCTGCACAATTCGAAGGAGGCTGGGTACCGATTCTGCCGTGCTTGAGATTATCAAGGCTAAAGGCAAGCTCGTGCAGGGGGGAGCGGGTGGGCAAAGATTCGACATGAGGTGAAAAACGTGGCCAGGGCTTTCTTATCATTTTATGGCTCAACAACGGATGGGAACCATAGGTGGCTAGAAGCATTTTGTCAAAGGGCAATGAGAAATACAAACATAGACAAAGTAAGAAGTGCCCAAGACGGGCTGCAGCGAGAGATGGAGAGAAGAGAGCTCCTCAGCACCACAAGCCCACGTTCCAAATCAGCGATCTATATATCAAATGACAACGACGCCCGTGCCCGTGCCCGTGGCCGAGGGAGCCGAGGTTGCGGTTCCCGGCGCGTCCGTGGCCACGATAGAGGCAGGGGCGGACGCAGAAGCAGAAGCAGACGGCGACCCGGAGGCAGAGGCGCCGCCGCCGCCGCACTGGCCAAAGGGGGTCTGGCAGCCCGCCCCGCAGTAGTCGTCGGTGCTGCCGCACCGGCCGCTGGAGCTGCAGCAGTTGCCGAACTCGGAGCCCATGCAGGTCACGCCGGTGCCGCAGGTGCCGTCGTCGCTGACCCGGATCCGCCCGGAGGGGTGGGACCGCTGCAGGTTCCGAAGCCGGACTGGCAGCCGCTTCCGCAGTGGGCGGCGGACTGCAGATGGGCGTGTTAGTGAGCGACATATGCCTGGCTCCTCCACATGAGCTGGTTTCTTTTTAGAAAACAACTTACGCTTCCGCACCAGCCGTACTTGGAGCAGCAACTGCCAAACACCGAATCCGTGCACGTGCTGCCAGAGGCCTGGCCGCAGGTTGCGTCCTGAGAGATGACAGCAGCGGAAACGCCACCGAGGGCCAGCAGGATGCTGAAAGTGGTGAATGTCTGACGCATGGTTGCGGGTGAGAGTGCGAACGAAGGTGGAGTAGTTGGACTGGCTTTGTGTAAAGTTGAAAAGGAGCGTGGTATGTTTGAAGACAACAGAAGTGAGTGGCTGATGAGTAGAGATTGACATGCCAACTCCCATGCGTCCTGCACGTCTTTTATATATACATCGCCGCGAGCTGCCTCTTGGTCCCCCAACACGGGGAAAAGGTGAAGGTGCCGACCTAGAAGAGCAGGTAGTGTGAAGCCAGGCTAGATGCCGCAAGCGGACTGCCTAGTTTGGCGTGTGCGAGTCGCCTAATTACGCGCCAGTTCATCCTAGCGCCCAGGCCATGGCATCCCGGACTGCCGCGATCCTCCTCCATCGTAATTATCACCCAAGCGCCACAGAAGCTTGACCGCAGAAACCCCTGCCAAGGCGGGAGAGCTCAGACCTGTCCTTTACTAGCCAAGCAGCAAACTGCTGCCTCGTGCCGCTCTTGACGCGGACGGGCTGTTGGATACGAGGCGGAAACCCCAGCATGAAACGGACGAGGACGAGCGACGGCGGCCGTCGGGCAGGCGTATGGATGGATCTGGCTGCGACGAGCCGTCCCGCTTGTGGGAGCCACTCGGCCGACTAGGGATACGGCGAGGTCCGACGCCTCGACTTAAAGATGCCATGACGCGGCCCGCGAGCCGACTAATACAGCCGCCACATCTTGCCACGGCTTTCTGGCCTCATCCTCTCGCTTAGTTCCCATTGCGCAGAGGCGGCTTGTAAAGGTCGGTGGTGTCATGGAGCCGTTAGGTTTGGGTGAAGGGACACAGCCTCCCTCGTGTCACAGCACCATGCAGGGTTTGATGGCACGTAATGGGTCATGCTCGGGGTTGTGTGACTTGAGCACTTGGATTCTGACCTCGTTCCGCCGGCCCACGGTAAGTAGTCTTTCCCAGCGCTATTTCTCGCAGCGCACACATCTAGGGGTGATATCAAGAGGTAAGGGGAGCTAGTAGGACTTGATGGCAACCGCCGAGGCACTAGCTCAGGAGTATGCACAACAATGATACGATTCAGAGGTATCTCTGCTTCTACGATGGCGCAGGAGATGAAATACACTTGTATTCGAAGCGTATCGGCTATGCCGAACGGAACGCAAACGACACGCCACACGGAAAATATTTTACAAACTAAAAAAATGAATCGTCACCTCCGCCCTCCACTATGACCGCTCCTCAGTCTACCCGCGGCCTTAGGCAGAGCCAGTCGGGAGAATCTCGCCCGTCACCTGGGCCTCGGCACCCTCGACGGAGGTCGCGAGGGCAGTCACCACGGCCGGGCGCATCCCCTTCTTAGAGCTCGAAGGGGCCGCCGTCGCCGTGGTGTTCGCTGCCACGGTGTTGTTGCCACGGCTCAGGCTCGCCGCCGCCGCCGCCGTCGAGTTGGCGGCCGCGAGGATCTCACCCGTCACCTGGGCCTCGGCGCCCTCGACAGAGGTCGCGAGGGCAGTCGCCACCGTCCCCATCTTGGATTTCGAGGGGGCCGTTGTCGACGTGGCGTTCGCCGTCGCCGTGGTGGTGGTGTTCAGGCGGGCCAGGCCCGTCATCGCCGTCGACGTCGCCGTCGTCCGGGGCGCCGTGGTGGAGTTGGCCGTCAGGTGGGCGGTGCCCGTCGTGAACTTGCCCTCCTCGTACGTGAGGGTGGGCCAGAGCTGGGCGGGCAGGGCCTCCCACCTCTTGCTGGAGATGCCATCGCGGTCCGAGAGGCCGTCGTTGGCGGTCTCGCACACGCCGTTGACGCCGGCGCCCGTCTTGTTGGGCACGACGGCGTCCCAGTCCTGCTCGCCGGCGCAGTTGGCGTAGGCCACCACGACCTTCCAGCCCTGGTCCGTCGTGTAGTGGCCCGAGACGCCGTCGGAGCTCCACGTGCCCTTGCGCGTGCAGCAGCCGTCGTTGATCTTGTTGGCGACGGCGTCGACCTCGCGGCCGCAGTTGAGCGTCACGTTGTGCGCGTTGTGGTTGCACACGAAGAGGCCCGTCGAGCGGGCGCACGCGAAGCGCCGGCACGTCTGCGCCGGCACGGGGCAGTCGAGCAAGTTGAGGGAGTCGAGGGGATGCTTGCCATTGTCGTAATTGAGGAGCCACTTCTGCCGCAGCAGGATCTCGTGGTCCAGGTCCCGCCGGGAGGCCGAGTCGTATTTGTCGCACGCCAGCTCCTTGAGCTGGGCCGGGTGCGGCGCCTCGCACGTGGTGTTCTTGTCCGTCGACGGGCAGGTGCCGTTCAGGATACGGGGGTCGGTGCCGCTCAGGGGGCCGAGGACGGGCCTCGGGGCGCCGTGAGAAAAGGACGCGGTAGAGTATGCGCCAAGCGCGAGGGTCACGAGCTTGAGGACGACACCCATTTTAGCGGGTGTTATGGGATAAGAGACGGGGTGTTTTGGGGTCGTGAAGAGTGTGTTTGGGATCGTAAAGAGTCGGCGTGAGATAGCAGGATGGATGTAGTGATGAGAGATGATCTAGTCGTGGTGAGGGTATGGTATGGGACTGCCTGGCGTTTTATACCTGCATGTCGACATCTTTGTCGTTTTTTGCCTTTCCCCAAGCCGCCGGCAAGCTCTGTGAAAGCTTCAAGATACCCAACGCCATTGAGCTGTGGCGAGAAGTTTCTTTTCCCATTTTTCCTCGCTGTCTCTCTTTTCGCGCCACTCTTCCTCCCTCCTGCGTGGACCTGTCTGGCCCATATTGCCTATTGCCATCTGGGCCTCGAGCACCCATGTCCCGAATATCGACAAGTAGTACAAGAAATTCGCGGGCGTGAAAATCTAGCAGTCAATGAGACGCAATCGGTACCATTGGCACCGCATGGCTTGCATCTACCCATGATGATACCTTCACACACCTGAATTACCGCAACAGCTTGCTGTGCATATCATCTAGCAAGGGGAACCCAACAGACTGCATGGAGCCTCATCGACGTCGTAGAGAGTGGACCACTCCACGCGGGTAAATCGACGGACAAGATTATCCCACCATACAGAGTCGCCTAGAGCGCCCAGCGATGCCAAGACTATACTTTCGGGCTATCACTTGAGCAGCATATAAGATCACGACTTGGATCCGCATCGCGTAGACATGCAGTTTGCCTCTCACCAATCGCATCCTTGTCTCCTATACCACACGTACAAATCAACCTCACAATGCCGTTTGACGCCCAAGCCGTTGTGGACTCCATCTCGCGCGCCGGGCTCGCCCCCGGTGCCACCCCGCTGATCCCAGCCGACTTCGAGCCGACGACGGAGCTGTCGGTCGTCTACGGGGGAGCAAAGCCCTCGCGCTGGGCAACCTCTTCCGTAAGAGCGAGTGCGGCAAGGCCCCCAGGGTCTCGTTCCCGCCCGAGGGCCCGGCCTCCTCGGGGGCGGCCACCTACACGCTGCTCCTGGTCGACCCGGACGCGCCCTACCCGGACGACACGCAGTTCGCAAACTGGAGGCACTGGGTCGTCACGGGGCTCAGGCCGACAACTGGAGCGTCCGCCGCCGGCGACGCCGCTGCCGCGGGGGTCACCCTGACGGCGTACCTAGGGCCTGGACCTAAGGACGAGTAAGGAATATTGGTTTTTTTTTTTTTCTGAAGCCAGAAACGCCCCGTTCCCCGAAAGAATGATGCCCGTGGACAATAAGTTTTGCAGGGAACGCCCGCTAAGCTTCGTCTTCGACAAAAAAAAAACCAAAAGCTCGGAGCCGCACCGCTACCTCTTCCAGCTATTTAAAGAGCCCGAGGGCGGGCTGGGCGCCTTGACAAAGGCGGACGTGGGCGGCGAAGAGTTTGTCGACCGCAGGTCCTTCGACAGCCCCGCGTGGGCGGCCAGGCATGGCCTCGAGCTGGTGGCGCTGAACTGGATGCTTTGCGCGGCGGACGCGTGGGAGCAAAAATAGAGTACAGCCATTGGCCCCGCCGATGCCGCCCAGGTCGTGTTTTGAAAGCTTAGATTAAAGAAGAAAAAAGTGGAATATCACATTTTCTATCAACATGCGCCTTGCCGCTCACACTCAATGCTCTGATGTTGGAGATTTCCCCTCAAACAAGATTACAGTCAATCCCAGCCAACAAATAGATGGGTCTCCATAACGGGTTGTATCTTGGGCCATTCCTCCTTTTCTCACCCGAAGCCGTCATGTCACACACGGACGGACGAACACAAAACGGCATTCTTCAAAACGCCCAAGAGTAGTATGAATAACAATGAGGATGAACAAAGATAACCATCCCGGTCTACCAGAGAAAATTACGAGGTGCTAAGGCTAGCAGAGTAACCATACACGAGCAGAGAGGAACAGGCTCAGCTACAGTCTGCTCTCAGGAAGAGCATCTTTCGAGTCGCGACGAGGGCAGGTGGATGCTGAACAGTAAAGACAGGCAGTTCAAATGAGCCCAGTCAGACGTCACTGCCGCCTATCAGAGCGATGGTCATTGTCACCAGGCCTGTACCGAAAGTCCTCATACCTAGGGGGACGACCATCCCCGAAACGCCCACCTTCACCAAAACGCCCACCGGGTCCTGGCGGAGGGCCACCACCGCCGCCGCCGCCGTTTCGCCGACGACCACCGCGCCGGCGTGGGGCCGGGGCTTCGAACGACTGGGGAGGTAGTGGTGCTCGGTGTGATCCAGAGCCAGAGCCAGAGCCAGACGCATGTCCTCCCCCCGGTGGGCCGCCGCCGCGAGGGCCACCACCTCCGCCGCCGCCGCCGCCACCGCCTCCCATCGGACCGCGGCGATCTCGGAACGGAGGCCTGATGCCAACAAAAGTTTCCGGGCCGCGGTCGATAAACTGATCGCTGCGGGTGAACGAGTAGCGGTGGTGGTCGCCCGAAACATCGCGGGTCGGGTCGTGCGAGACGAACTGGTCGAGGTTTGCAAGCCTTCGGCGTGCCAGATCGGATGAGACAGCCTGCCAGGCAAGACGAGGCGTGGCGCGAGTTCCTTGGTATGAGTTGGAGCGCATGTCACCGCCACCGCCCAATCGGCCACCGCTCGGCTGCGGGGGTTGCATGCTCCGTGGGCCCGAGGGCGCCGATTCGATTCCTGTGTGCTCCCTCATGGCTGGGCCGGTGGGGGCGTTTGCTGGGAAGGATGAACGTGACGGGGCAGGGGCAGACGGGGGAGCCTTTGAATCGGGCGCGGCAATCTGATGGGTGGCGACGGTGATGCCTCCGTCCTTGTGGTAAACAACCTCCCATCTAGGAACGCCACCACGACTGCCTCCGCCAGATGCGCGCTCAGTCTCGGCCTCCTCCTTTTCGATCCAGTCGCGGATCTGTCCTGAGGGAACATAGTCGACCCAGAGCGTTTTGCGATTCCGCTCATCAGGCCAGACCCTACCATGCAAGGCGGACCGCACGCGCGAGGCGGCAGTGACGGTGCGGAACTGGACCAGCACGTGTGTGCGGATAGAGTCGAGACAAAATGCCGTTACAACAGACGGGTCAGGGGTTTCGCCGCGGGCTGCGGAAAGTTCAACGAGATGGGCTTCCACGCTCTCGGACTTGAGGGGGCGCATAAGGTTGCCAATGTAGAGGCTGTCGGTGGCTGGGTGAAGGGCGGGCTCGAGAAGGGCATCGTCATCGTCCCGAATGCCGCGAGCAGGGCGGTTTGGGATAGGACGCTCGTCCCTCTCCTTCTTCACCTCGGTGTCGATATCCATCCTAGTAGATGCCGCCTCTTGCGCTGGCTCCACCTTCACATCATGCTTCTCAACCAGTGAATCGTCGCCATAGTCGACAACCTCGTCCTGATCCGTTGTTTGTACTTGGTTGTCCGCGCTGACGGGCTCGCTCGGTAGTGGCTGTGAAGTCAAAGGAGCCACGGCGGTGCCAGGCTGACTCGCGCTCTCTGCCGGGAGATGCTGTGGCGCAGATGCACCGTCCTGAACGGCGGCTTTCGCGACGCCCCCGGCCTTGAGAGTCTCGGCAGGGTCCTGCCTTGGCCTCTTCCGCGGAGTGTCGACGTTTGAAGGCGGTGGGCTAACGGAGCGGCGCTTCCGCTTCTTCTCGTCCACAAGGACTTCGGCGGGCGGCACTGAAGGGGTTTGCGGCACGCCGCCGTTGCTCTGGGGATCCGCGGTGGGGCTGGCGGGCGCGTCAGGCTTTGCGCCGGAGGCGCCGCCAGTGTCGGCGGTTGCGTCTTCGCCGGCTACAGGCTCCCCGCTGGGCGGCTCCTGGTCTAAGCCATTGTTCTCAGCTTCCTCCAGACGCTCGATCAGAACTGCCTTCACACCCTTAGTGTCCAGCCCTCTCCGCTTGAGCTCTTGCCTGAGGTCGACAACCGTAAGCTTGCTCCAGTCGGTCGCCATGACGGAATGACAGCCGGGTGATCGTGCGACGCGGGTCTGCGCAGAACGCCGGCTGTAGTTGAAAATAGGCAAGACAAGGGCGAAAAGGCGTAGCAAACAGAGTGTGGCTCGCGCGATGCTATGGGGCGACAAGCGATGGGCAATAGAGGGGGAGGCGAAGATATTTTCGAGCCACCCGCGGGAGGAGGGAGCTGGGTAATCGGCAAATATTGGAGCCGTGCCGCTTTGCGCGGGTTTTGGTCGCGTCGGGTTTGAGGCTGGGGAGTTGGAGGTCGCAAGGGCCAATCCGTTTTGATGTCCAAAATTTGTTCTAGGCGCGTCGCGAAAACTCGTCGGCCCACGCCGCCTCGTCCCTGCCCAAAATTCTGCGCACGGCCATGGCACGGCCGCCTATTGTGGGCTTTGCGCGAATCCCTGTCCGCTTTCGGACAAAGGCCGAAAGCAGCCTCACGTGACACAGCCCTCTATTGTCATCCAGCGCTGGCCGTCCGTCTGCAACTGTGTTCCTTGATCATGAGGCAGGTGTCAGAGAAACCCCACCTATGCAATGCGACAAGACATGGCGGAGAGGGGGGGTTCTATGGCATGATGGCGCCCAGAGGACTCAACCGTTTGCCTGCCCGCTGCCGAAGACTTCTGTTGAGAAACCAAAGCCGGGGTGGAAACAGATGGCGGGCGGCAAACAAGGGGACAATTGCAAGATATAGGTACACGCCACACAAGCACCCCATCCTCAAGGACAAGGAAAGCAAGCGACAAACTGAGCGCTGACCTTCCCGACCCCCCTCGGGTGCTTCCGACAACTTGTCCCAGCTGCAGCCCCGCCGTCTTGGGCTGGACGATGAAGGCGGCTAGCTGTCACTTCCATCAATCCTCATCCCTAGCGCGCGTTCTGCAGGTACCGTGGGTACGCTGTGTCAAAGATCCACTGGGCCGCCCACGAGGCATCGCGCCCTTGGTCGGCGGCTCTGTGTTGTCGCTGTCGTGGTCTGCCAGCCACCTATGGATGACCCCAGGGCAAAGCCCAACAAGGGGCCCAGTGGACCGTTCAGTCAACGCCAACTCTGCTTCCGGGGAGCAATCGTCCCAACTCGGAATGGCGGGGCACCTGCCACAATTGATTGGACGCCGATCATCTGTTGTTCCTTCCGCAAGCAGCCTCGAGTGAGCTTCTATTCCCAAATCCCGGTGCCCAACCCCCGGAAGCAGCCCAAATAAAGAAATCAAATGCCAGTGGCTTTCTGTCTGCGCTCGCGAGACTCTCAGCTGCTTGAACCTTGTGTGATTTTTGGTCCTTTTCAAAGCAGCATTGCCCTCGAGACAGCGCCCCTATTGTATTTGATTGCTGCAAATTTCTATTCAGAATCCCTGCCCACGCTCCTCACCGACGCTTCGTCGAAGCCAAGCCTCCCCACCATTCCTGCCATCGGAGCTTTTGTCTACACCGCCCATCACCACCCTCCCGCCTGCACCTCAAGCTGCCTGCAAGATATTGCCCTCGCTGCACCTAGGTTAGCTAGGTAGTTGTGGAACAGACCTGCCTATATCTCATTTCTACATATTGTCTTCCCATTGCTCTCGCCGCATCTTGCGCCGCCACAAGGATGCCCTTTGGGATATTCTCGAGCCGGTGGGCCGGCGTTTTAACTGGGAGGATCACAAAAAAGCAAAGTCCGCCCAGCTCCTGCGACCCCGCGAAATCTAAGGTCGCATACCAAAAGCCAGCCCTATCCGGTCTCTTGTCACCCCCTTCTACAATCAAGGTTGTTCGAGATGATGTTGTCATCAAGACTGAAGAGGTGGACTCGGAGGATGAGGACGACTTTGCGTCCCCTACCAGGGACCAGAGGGTCGCGGTCGACTCGACGACCCGTTGCGACCAAGACATCCTGCCTTCTGTGGAGCGAAGCACCAGTCCAGAAGAGATGATTCTGCTGCCAAGCATCGAAACAAGTCTTCTCGGTAGACTCAGAGGAGGGAACCTCGAAAATTCCGACGATGGCAGCGACGAGGCTGAATATGGCGACAACCCTGACGGCGAAGATCATTCGGATCAACGCGACGAGGAATTCGAGCCAGAGGCAAGCCCCGACTTCCCAGCAGGCCGCTGGAATATTCCAGAAGAAATTCTGGAGCAATATCAGGATTTGCGGCGCGGAGTTGTCAGTATTCCTTGTGCACCTTGCTGCTGTCACAAATTTACCTCGACATGGCCATGCTAACTTGTCGCGCTGCAGGGAGGCTCCGAGACCTGGACAGCGACCGAGTCCCATCTGCACAGACTCCTTGGGCTGCGGGGTCACCACCCCCTCATGCCGGGCGAGTGGAAGCGAGACTTCACGGGGTTCAATCTGGAGGACATCCTCTTTGCGCCGGTCGGGTCCGGAAATGCCGTCGCGCTGCGGACCGTCACGTCAGGGATGAGTGCGCAATTTCGAGGTTAGCCGCTCCATTGACCTCCAGGAACGAAGAAAGCAGCCAAGGCCTGACGTACTAATATCAACATGTCTTACCAGCAACCAAAGCGCTTGGGCGAATCTTTAGCCTTCCGGCACGTGTGGGCGACTTGCGCCGGGAGGGTGACGAAGACAAATACCCCAAGCTCATTGCCACCCTGATAGAGAAGGAGATCCTTCGCTACCTTTCATGGGTCCAAAAAGACGCCGGCCTAGACAGGCTTTTCTACGCGAGCAACATCGGCGTGTACCGTTTGAGGGAAGACAGCACCGAGGCCGAGATAACCGAGCAGCTCAACTCTCTGATGACCGAGTGGGCTGACGGATACCGCGAGTGGTATGTGGAGATGGGTATTAAGGGCGCCCCACGCACACTCTTCGCGCTGGTTGTACTTCAGCACATTGTCTTTGTCATAACGCGCGACGCCAGCGACCCCGATGGAAAGAACCGGTTCCTGGCCCAACTTGACCTCTCGCGGTCCGATGGTCGTTGGCTTGACCACGCCCTGAATCTCGCCCTCCCTATCAACCTAGCCAGGGATGGCATGGTGCGGGTGATGGACAACTTCGCCGTGAAGCCCGGCGCAGACGAGGATTCCGACCCCGATGCCTAGGGGGCAGGGCCGTGTTAGAGGCCAGAATGGGGCAGTGGACAAAAACTGCATGCGTTTTAGTTGGCGGATATTTTCTCATATTTCTCGAGGCATCTTTCTGGCCCGTTGGCGGCGTGGGCAAGGCTGTTTCGGGCCCATATCATGGTTGTTTTCTTCGTTTTGTTTACTCCTGGTGTTTCTCGGGAGAGATTTAGATACCCCCTTTCGTTGATGCGTTGTCACACCGGACGGCTGTTACCCAGCCTACGAGAAATCATTTCCCTCGGCATCGCCGTGCATTCATGCATGCTCATTCCTCCTCGCCAAATGGCGGTCATTTGTCTCCTGACCTTTGGGGTCTTCTACGTTCATGGTATTTACGTGCGGTGTAGCCGATAAAACCCCACCACTGGCCGAAGGAATTTACCGGTAGCCCAGAATGTGGTGATTGCGTCAACGCTCCGGCGAAGAGAGTGTTGGCAGTTTTTGTTCTGGATCCTGCCAAGAGCTGTGGCTCAGATGGATCGAAGGGGAAAAGGAAAGAAAGGGAGGCACAGCAGATTCCTCAACCTCCCTGCGTCGGGGTTTCCGGGCAAAAGCTGCGTGCGGTCTTTCCATGATATGACCTAAAATTAAAACCGGGGTAAGCACACTCCCCCCCTGGGATCTGGCCCCCAGCTCATCGGGGATGACCCGAAGGATGAGGGATCAGATCTACCGGGTGCCTTGGGTGCCAGGTGGTACCGAAGATCAGATAACCCAACATACTACATGGCGCTGCTGTGGCTAGCGGCAGCTTTGGCAGAGTCGCTCTGCGGGGATATGTGTGGGCATGTGCACACCAGTCGGCCGTTGCCGGCTGAACAAATACAGAAGCCTCAAAGCGGCGGCTGAAAAGTCCGAATGCGCCTCGCCAGCCACCATGGCTGAAACATTCCTGCTACGGCTAGGACTACGGCTGCGAACATGAATACGGCTACCTGCACGTCATCTCGTTGGCTCTCATCGACAAAGCCCGGTCAGCTTATCCGTGGGGTTGAGCACCTTGGTATTTCGGGAACATTCAGTTGTTCATGCAGGCAGGCTTGTGGCGCGTGAGTGTCAGGTACAGGTCCAGTACCGGCCACCTAGTCAGCCATTGAGGCACATCTCTCGGAGTTCCGAGCAGCGGAGATGTGGACGGGTCAGTTAGCTACAGCGGCGAAGAGGAGGCGGACAAGATTGGATTGATTGATAGCCGATAAGAAAAAAAGCTTAGCCTGGGTTCCATTCGTGGTGGGTTACAGCATTGGTTGCGCTCTGCATCGAGGGTAGGATCCCTGCCTTCCCCGGTACCTAGTCCGTCCATCCAATCTAGTTTCCACGGTGCATGGAGGCTGCAAGAGTCGTGCATCGTGAGGGCTCGGATCTCTGCGTATCGAGTTGTCCATGGCTCGGGCTGAGGAGAATTAAGGTGCTTCGTAGAATATTGCCCGAATAGGCAACCAAAGTTGAGTGACTGGAAGCCTGGAGTCAACAGCCTGGGAGTCATCTGGAGCCTGCAGCCGGAGGAAGCTGGAAGGCAGTGAAATCGGGCGTCTGATGTCCTTCGCGTCTTCTTGGCCAGTGGTCCGGCCAGTACCAGGTCGCCCTGGCTTGGGGACTGACTGTCAGCACTCAGCAGGGTACCACAGTACTGTACTGGGCGCATTGAATCGGGGCAGTGCGGGGAAAAGAGTCCCTCGGAGCTGAAAGGATGGGATGGAATGGCGGCATCACCGGCTGCGACTTGATCGTACTACGGACCAACGACGGCCGGCTGTTTTGCTGAAGGGGGTGGGTGGGTGAAGGCACCAAGTCGCGTTGAGGAATGAACTGCAGGCTTGGCTACGCTGAATGGTCACACTGAGGGTGTGTATGCGGTTTTTGCCTAGTGGTTGTGCGACCGATATCGATTCAATTCAACAAGTTCTGCAATCAGCCTGGAATGGAAGCCGAAGCCTCGCGATGGAAAGTCCATGCGGGGCCATTCAGTGGGCCCGACGGATGCTTGAACCGGGGCAACCCCTGTGGGAACAGGCGTCTGGTCGCCTGCAGACCCGCGCCACTGTGACACGACGGCCACACCGCTGGCTTCATATTACATTTGCACCTGCTCTGATTGGCCCAGCCCAGCCCTTCCCCAGGCACTTGCCCGTCGGGGGTCTGTCCGGCCCTGGAGAGTCAGCCTAAGGAGAAGACAAGGCGAGCACTGGCAGAGCGCTGCAACGTTGTCCGCCTGCCTGGGACGGACCGTGGGATCGTCAGGCGCTGGTGGTGTGACGCTTCTTCCCCTTTCATCAACCCTGCCCAGCACCCAGCTCGGCCTCCTTGGAACCTTTCTAGGGGGGCTGTTTGTCGGGTGTCGCATCCCCGGGTGGTGCTGCTGTCGTCTGCCGAGAGCTTGCTCACTCCGACCCCAGCTGGGCAGTGCAAGCCCCGACTTTTCTTTTGCTGTATCCAGGTCCAAACTCTGGCCGCGGCACAGCCCGCCCAGCAAGACGGTCCTGCGTCCACTCTGGCATCCATACCAGCGGACCTGTTCCTTTTGGGGAGAA